ATATATATATATACATACACACATACATACACACACACGCGAATTAAAACATAAACACACAACCAAACATTAACACACATGCACAAACACAAACCAGCACATACACAAATACACACACGCACAGACACAGACCCACACATACACATACACATTTGCACAAGCACACAAACATACACACACAAAAACGCACACATACAAACACACTTACACGCACGCTTGCACGCACGCATACGCTCCAACACACACACCAGCACACCCACACAGCACTCACACATACATACACATACACAAACACACACACACACACATACACACACATACACACACACACACACACACACATCTGCACAAGCACACACACACATATACACACACGCACAAACAGACACACACACACATACAAACACATAAACACACAAATACACAAACATAGTCACTCCCGTGGGGAGATACGCAACTATAAGTAAATGCTTAAACGTTTAAGAGAACCTCGAGTTTTTTAGCATTAGGCATAAAAAGAAACTTTACAACACACAGTGTAAGAGTGGTTTGTTTCTGTCATGTACGAGTATAATTTTATTATACTTTTACTTTTATTTTTAGTTTGGCATTCTCTGTTGCCGTTAAGCGTCATGGGGAGATGCAGTTTTCTATGGCAGGCCAGCTCCTCAGCTCTTTCAGTTGTGAAGTTTTCTTAGGGTTTCTTTGACACCCTCAATCCACCTTTTTCGTGGCCTTCCTCTTCCTTTATAGCCTGAGTGCTTGGTGTTGTAGGCTCTCGAGGCTGGCTGGTCAGGTGACATGCGTAACAAACCTTTTTATCCTCGGTCTTTCGATGTGACTCAGGCAGGACTCACTGCCGATAGCTGCTCTTACTTCTTCATTTCTCTGCCTGTGTCGTCTTGTGATGTTAAGGGTTTTGCGGAGACATTTCATTTCGCATACGGAGATTTTGCTTTCACTGGTTTTGCTTAAAGCCCAGGTCTGGCACTGATAACATAATGTTGGTATGATTATTGAGGTGATAAGCTGTCTCTTTGTGTCCATGGAGATGTTTGGATGAGATAGGAGGGGTGCAAGCTGGTAGGTGACAGCGTTGGCTTTTTGAGTTCGCATTTCTATTTCTCTGTCTATGGACCCCCTTTTCAGAAAAAGTGCTGCCAGGATATTTAAACTTCTTCACCTGTTTCAATTGTTTACTATTGACATGGATGTTCAGGGGACTATGGTTTCGGCTCACTTTCAAAACTTCTGTTCTTGATGTGCTTATTTTCATGTTGAAATTCTCACAGCTGTTGTTGACTTCGGTAGTGTGATTGTAGAGGCTTTGTTGGTCATGATGAATAAGACATTGGTCGTCTGCGAACAGAAAATCGCTTAGGCTTTCTGGGCTTTGTTTTGCGTCTTGCGTTATTGTGTCCATATATACTATAAACAGGATGGGAGACAGAACGCATCCATGTCGTACTCCAGCTCTTACTTTGAACCAGTCTGTACTGCCTTCCTTCGTTCTTACTGAGCTTCTGCTGTTGGTATATAGAGCTTTGACATTATCTAATATTTGTCCTCTGACGCCATACTTTTCGAGTGTCTTCAAGAAATTTGCATGGGTTACTCTGTCAAAAGCCTTCTCCTGATCTAAAAAGGCGATGTTGGATTCTTTGTTGTGTTCGATTGTTTTCTTGCATATCTGTCGTAATGTGAACACGAATCCGTGCATCCTCTTCCCTTTCGGAATCCAAACTGAGCTTTGCTCAGATTTCTCTCTACAATTGGTCTTATGCGCTGCTCTAGTATCTTTGCGTATATTTTCCCTGAGTGGCTTAACAAGGTGATGCCTCTGTATGTTGTGCAGTCGCTTTTGTTGCCTTTCTTTCCATAATGGTACCACTTTGGCTTTCTGCCAGTCTTCTGGACATTTTCTTTGCTCCCAGGCTCTGTCGAAAATTCGCCTCAGCCACAGTAGCCTATACCGGTGTTTCCACAAGCTCTTATGGCTTCCGCTGTGATGTCATCTGGTCCTGGGGCTTTGTTCTTGGGGCTGGTCTTGAGTGCCTTTTCTATTTCACTGTATTGGTGGCTCTGTTTGATCTTCATATGATTGTTGGAGTATATTATAGAACTATTAAATATAAGCCGTTTTTTTATCGTGGGTGAAAGGCACGGCGAGAGGTGTTGTTGAAAATAAATTGAGCGACTGTGTCAAAGAAAAAGTGGGAAATAGTAATGTATTTCCCTATTTTTGCTCAACTGTCGGGGTTAACTTGAGAGACACAATAGGGCTGTTACTCTATATTAAAGGAACGTAAAAATTATGGACCGCAATTGTTGTGGTGAGCGATTGCATGTAAAGGGGGGGCGGGAGTGGTAGTGTTATACTTTACTTTTACCGAAACCCATTGAAGCACTGGCCTTTACCTGTGACCAGACGGTAGAGGAAGCGTGTGATGTCCGAGCCAGCCATGTCCTGACTGACCAACGCTCCGGACACCGGCCGGCCCTCATGGACAGCTACTGCTCGAGTGAGACCGGCACCAATGTCCAGAACCGTCCCTGTGGTCTGTCCACTGCTGTACATGCACATCACAGCCTAGGAACCAAGGGTAAAAGAGGGTGGGGAGGGGGAGGGGGAGAGGAAGGTAAAATGAAAGGTGGAAGGATTGTGGTATGATAGGTGCATGGAGAGGAAAGGGAGGGGGGAGGTTGAAAAGGGTAGGAAAATGAGGTGGGGGAGAGGTAGAGACAGAAATGCGGAGTGGAGGGGAGAGAGAAACAAGGAAACATAGTAAATACATTTGTATTTGGCCTCTATATCCTTTCTATAACAATTGTCGTGTTCAGACAAATAGATCATTTTAAAAATCACGTTATTTGAAATAAAAGAAGTAAATCTCCACAAAATAATGCACTTGCTCATCACCCTTAGCGCCATGTGGGTTCGATGTGTTTAGCCACAAGACGTATTTAAGTCTCCACCGATCTAATAGGTGTTGTCGGTGTTGTCACTTGACATCTTCGTGGAGCTGAAGTTGTTACCCTGGACAGTAGACAGGACTGTACAGACAACCGGGTACACTCAAAGTGAGCATGTATTGTCAGCTTAACTAATTTGAAGTCAAAAAGGGTCTACCCACACAAAAGCTTCAATAACAGTTGTTTTCGAAAAGGAAAAATGTTGGTTATCCTTTGTTTTACTGTTATAGTCAAATATTATCTTTGATTGTCCGCACTTGGCGATGAGATCGGCGAACTGATTGGGTAAGAGCCACGACTTTGAATAAGAAGATGCCAAGTTCACCAATGCCTTCCACTCAATAGATATTAAGCCATAAATAAAGGCGTTTTGCGTTTCCCTTGCTCTTGAAATAATACACTCGTTGACAACATTTATTTGCTCTTGAAACGATAAAGTGGTTGATGTCATTACATTGTTTTACGGATTTCCGTATTCTCTGTACGTAACACTCAATAAAACTCTCTGGACCTGGAATCAAGACATTAGCCTGTGTGTGCAAAACCTAGCTGTATCTGCAGTGGAGGTCGAAGCCAGTGAGAAAATCTGAGTGTCAATTTGTCCTCTCGGGTAAGCTATAGTTCTTTTATGCTAAGGTGAAATAAAATGTATAGAGACATGTAAAAGTAGAGTATAGCCTCCACCCCCACCCCCCACCCTTCTCTCTCTTTCTCTCTCTCTCTCTCTCTCTCTCTCTCTCTCTCTCTCTCTCTCCCTCTCTCTCTCTCTCTCTCTCTCTCTCTCTCTCGCCCTCTCTCTCACTATCACTCCCCCCCCCCCCCTCCCCTATTTCGAGCTGCTGGACTTCGCGACTCACCGGACTAGCCACACAGAGAGCAGGCACGTGAAGTGTCTCGTACAAAACCTCCGCCATCTTGTCTCTGTTCTCCCTCGGAGTGCCAGGTGTCTCGGAGATCAGAACTGGATGGTCTTTCGACTCCACACACAGCTCGTCCTGGAAAAAAAGGGAGAGGGGGTGGTGAGTGGGGTAAAAGAAAGAGGGAAAAAACAATCAAGAGGAAGGATTGAAGGGGAGCTGGGGGGGGGGGGGGGGGGACTTATTTGTTTGCTTGCTTTTTGGATGTTTTGTTTGTTTGTTTTTGTTTTGCTTTTATTTGTATTTGCTCTGATGTTATATCTTGTCATGTTTTACGCCTAAATTGACACAGATTAAATAAGCTAGCTTTTTCGACTTGCTGTCAGGACCAATCTGGCCTTTGTGTAATACATACCTATAGAAATAAGGAAAAGTCAATTAAATTATGTACCCTATACAAGGAGACCGACCTCATGCCCTCTCTATGTCAATCGAAGAGTCTAATTATTTAACTCCCCAAATGTGGTTGCCAGACAGGTTTGGGAGGGTAGGGGCTAAGGAAGGGTGCCTCGAAAAGGAGAAAAGGTTAACACGTAAAACAAAACGATAGTATAATCTAAATCGATTTGAAACAACAAATAAGAACCTGTGGTGACAATAATGGCTGACTAGTTGATAGATAATCCTTGACTTGCTAAAGTCGTCTTTTGATTACACCTCATCTGGTACCGTGCTAGATCCAAGGGCGCTTTAAATTTGGCGATACTTAAGAAGGTTTTAAGGCTGTCAAGCCAAGTGCCTTGGTCTTATCAGAGTTGGAGGTAAACTTTAAGGCTCTCCCTTATATAACCTTGCAATAGTGAAAAGCGGTCTAAAATCCTTACCACACCATACTATATTGCACGTTTATCTTTATTTTCAATCACATATCCCTTAGGCCCAATTGTGCAACCCCGTCCCCTTCCCCCTTTCCCATTGTCAGTTTCTCGACCGAAATTGGAAGAAAGTTGGCGAGTTGTCGAATCCGATCAGTATGTACAAGGGAGGTAATCGCCCTGAACTCTCATAGTATCTATATTTAGCTTGTTAACTCCCCTGTCATCATATGACAATAGCAAAAGCGAGTATAAACAGCAGTAATGCGGACACAATGCTGATAGGGACAGTCATAATGAGGTCAAAAAAAAAAGAAAGAAGAAAAACACTGATACAGAACTGTCGACCCCGCCGATTTCAAACTGACGAAAAATTACTTCGAAGTAGACAATTAATGGCAACGGTAAAGACAATGGTGAGCACAGACGTGATAATAAGGGCAGTAACGATGATGACAATAACAGTGTCAATGACGACGAGAATGAATGGGTGAAGCCCCCCCCCTAAAAACAAACAAACAAACAAACAAACAAACAAACAAACAAACAACAACAACAACAACAACCAAAACACATTTTTTTAAAATCCAAGCAGACCATGGCATGTTACTATGTAAGCGAGTTGCCAAGATGTGTTGCGTATGGGTGTGTTGCCGCGTAGTTGTGTAATTGGATAAGTGTGTTGCCTTGTAGGCGTGTGATTGTGTGGGCGGGTTTTTGTGTAAGTGTGTTCCGTGTAGGTGTGTTGCTATGTAAATGTGTTACCTTGTAGACGTGCTCTGTGTAGGTGTGTTACCAAATAGTGTTTTCATGTAGATGTGTTCTGTATAGGTGTGTTGCCAAGGAGTGTTTTCCTGTAGACGTGTTCTGTATAAGTGTGTTGCCAAGGAGTGTTTTCCTGTAGACGTGTTCTGTGTAGGTGTGTTACCAAGGCGCGTTACCGTGTAGGCGTGTTCCCAGACTGTGTGCATGTCCTCCCACGAAGTGACCAGGCCTCGCTGTACCGGGTGACTCAAGTTGACCACCGCGCGCCGAGACAAGGCCTCAAAACCCACGTAAAAGTCTTTGGTGGGACCTAAGGCCAGGCCATGACCCTGAGAGACAAAATATTACGATCAATAGGAAAAACCCCCCATATAAGAATTACAAAGTACCTACTTTTGAGAAATTTGCAGTCAAAATCTGTTAAAGTTTCACACGAAGTCAAGCTTTTTCGAATGCAATTTTTTAAATATCTAGAAAACGACTCCGAATAATCTTACGATTTTGACAGAGCAGATACAGCATTTGGTTTCTGGCCTCATGGTCTTAGTAACTCAAAACGGCCAAAAATGTCAGATAGAACTTTATGATTTTAAGGTATACCATTGTCTATACTAGATCTAGATGATAATCTGGTTTTGTCCTTGAGTTACAGAAAACCATGAGACCTTGAGGAAGTGCAGCAAAGATAATTCATGTTTCTGTTACAGCTGTTGGTGGGATGGGGGTGGTGATGACGCTGTTTCTGGTGTTGTTTTTGTTTTCGTCGTCGTTATTTAATTTTACGTTATACTCGGGACGTTGGTGACCATTTCAAAAGCAGACTACTTTATCCCCCGTTAAGATGTGGAGAGAATGTTATAAAAAGGGCGAGAAAAAATAGTTTTCAAATCGTTTGCATTGTGACCCGAAATTTTAATTCTGCAGATGACCTTCAGAACATCACCCCTGGCGCCTCAGCGGATGACAAGGATTAGTCTTTGAAATCATATAATTTGTGCTTGGAATGAATTAAAACTAAAATCAAAGCAGCTGTCCGTCAGTTAGTCAGTCTGTCTGTCTGTCTGTCTGTCTGTCTGTCTGTCTGTCTGTCTGTCTGTCTGTCTCTCTCTCTCTCTCTCTCTCTCTCTCTCTCCCCCCTCGCGTCCAGATAATATTTTTTAAAGACAACATACCTTATTTTTCTCTATTTTCTATTGCTTATTTTTAAATTAAAATACTTTGATGCAAACAGTGTGCTCATCATTGACATAATATTATTATGGCAGGCAGGCTCCAAGCAACCTGCAGTCTAGTACATCTTAATTGTGTCGAGTAGGGGTGGGGGGGGGGTGAAGCATAACGAAATGTCACACTGTAAATGCAAAAAGTAAACAATACCCCCTCCCCCTTTCAACCCCCGGTTCGAACTGGTTTCCCTTATGTGCAATATCCGGGTCACCATGGGACCACTGTGATGTTACGGCTATGTCTTACAAGAACAGGAAACAATGGGGTGTGAATGTAATGCGTGAAGAGGGTCAAGCTTTCCTTTTACCCAATAAATCACTATAATGTTACAAAGAGTGCAGTCTTCATAGATTCTGAAGCAATAGAATGGCATGTCTTACGTGATGTTCGTTCCGCCCAACGACCGCGGGCATGAGACATCGTGGCTTTTGGTCTCCGGCGAAGCCGACTTTGCATGTGTCCGTCCCGTTATCAATGACAACCGCCGTGACGTCACCTCCGGACATGACGTTGACCGTCCCAGCTTCCCCGGTGAAGGCTTGTTTTCCGAGAGGTCACCGACTCTCTCAACGCCCGACTCCTTCAGATTGTTTGCCTGCCTGTTTAATTGTCAGTGTCACTCTAATATTTCATCAGCTTCTTTGCTTGTTTGCTGCTGCTGCTGCTCCTGCTGTTGTTATTGTTGTTGTTGTTTTTGCTGTTGTTCTGGTTCTTGTTTTCAATTGTTTTGTCGTTCGGTTGTTTGTTTATCGCCTCCTGGGATGTATTTTGTATTACCGTGCTTTTGATCTTGACCCTAGATCCAGCACTTCTCTGCTAATTAACAATGATTTGTTCTCCTTTAATCTTGAGTAAATGTCCACGTTTAACTTGTGTTCAGATGTCTTTTGATGTGAAACGTACACGCTAACGCTAGCAAGCATGCGGTTACAGCGTGATCTCTTTCAAAGTAAAGAACCCCAGTGTGACCCTTTTCAATATGTTCTATCTCAATTTGTTCGAATCTGTCTCCCCTTCCTGTTGTTCCTGTGTGTCCACTTAGTGCGTCCTTATTAGAAAGAAGACCTGTAAGAAAAAAGGAAAGAGTTTTGGAAATTTTATTGTGAATCATTTCAGTAAAGGTCTATTTGGACATTCACAAAAAGCGTCACTACAGCCCCTACCAAACAACACATGGTATTTTAAATACACGTAAATGTGACAATTATCATTACGTGGCTAACACTGGTACATATTGGTTCTACCAGGCCAGCTAAGGGAATACTGACTTATTGTTATTATTAAACACGAGAAGGATGAAAGAGCCTTCTCTGAGACAAATGGTATTGATTAAGCACTTTATTTTGTTTCTTAACTTCAGTTAGCAGTTTCATTGTATATCTTAACTTAAGATTAAACTGTAGCCTATACTACCGCGTATACTGACACAACAAAATATATAATAATATACTACCCAACTAACAAGTCGTAAAAATGGTATGTGCCCGTGAGCCCAAAGTAGTTGACTTTGGTCAGTATTCTCTACGAACAAATTAACTTAAGCCAATAACCAAAATTCAAAAAGATATTTTGGGTGTGTTTTGACTCGCTAGTTTTAATGGATGATAATGACAATGTGCTAATGTGCTGTTAAAGATTTGTTCAAGCTTTTCTGCCACTCGCCAATATGTTAATGCAAACAATGTAGTATAATGAATCTCAGGTAACTAGAACTAATATATCTCAGGCAAGGACAACACGCACGGTCAGCTTCATTAGGGGGAGGGGAGGGAGGGGGCGTTTGTTTATGATGTTCATAGTTCTTGAAACCTTAATAGTGAGATTTTGGGCTTTGACATTTTCCTGCTGCTGTTATTGTTGTTGTTGTTTTTGCTGTTGTTCTGGTTCTTGTTTTCAAATTAAAAATTTGTTGCTGTTGTTGTCGTCGTCGTCGTCGTCGTTGTCGTCGTTGTCGTCGTTGTTTTTACTGTTGTTGTTGTTGTTGTTGTTGTTGTTGTAATTGTTGTTGTTGTTGTTGCTCCAGTTGCTATTCCTTCTACCAATAATCATTACTGATGACGGGATGCTTCTGCTTTTTATGCGGTTACGCGTGGTTCCAGGAGCCAAGCATGTTGCATTGATCCAGAACATGGAATCCCTTCCCCCCACCCC